AAGTGGTCCGCCATTGAAAACGGGCGCATCTCCTCCAGTGATGGACTCCCATTGTTGTCGTTGTCATCATCGCCACTGGCTACTCTGTTCTTGCTGGCAGTGTTGAGCCATGCAGAGCCGCCACCGCCAAGGAATTGCTCAACATCACCATCTCGATCATCACCGCCACCGCTGCCATCGCTGTCGTGCACGCCTGCTGGCGAGTGCATGGCCAGCCCCGATGCGGGCCGGGTGGCGTGCGGCGTGATGGCGGCAGACAGCGGCGCGTGGCGGTGGAACATGTCCTCAAACTCGTCTGGATCAAACGAGGTGTCGTCAATCTGCGTGAGCACCTCCACCCGGTCCACCTGCACCTGGAACGCCTGCCGCGCTTCAAAGGCGACTGTGACGACAGAGGCCACCACAGACGACGGTGGCGCGTCGTTGAAGGAAAAGAACACAGATGTCGGGCACGACGACAGCGGCAGGGCGAGCGTCTTACGCGGGATCTGCTTGTCCTTGGACAGGCCAGCGGAGATGGTGGTGACCACACGCTGTCGTGTGCGCAGCAGTGCGCCGTATATGCGCAGGTGCCGCAGGGTGACGGCACGGGGCAGTGACAGCTCAAAGGCAGCAAGATGCACCTCTGTTCGCAGCGGGCGACTGTCCGCCACCAGCACTGGGTTCACCCTGTACATGAGCATGGGGCTGTTCATCCACAGCGCACTCCTCTCTGCCGCTGTGCTGAACACGAAGAATGGCGTGAGCGGTGGGTGCTGTGGTGACGATGCAATGGCGGCATACGCCTTGCTGCCTGTCAGCGCATCGTGTAGTGGGTCACGCACGCGCGCGAGTGTGTCAGTTGAAACGCGCGTGTGCGATGATGATGACGATGGCTTTGCTGCCGCTGCTGCCTTTCCTCGCTTGAGCCGAGATGACAAGGGTTGCGCCTTGCTGCTGCTGCCATTGGCTGTTGCAACGGCAGTGTTGGTGCCTGCAGCTGCCGTGTGTTGATGAGAATGTAACACGTGCTGCATGTGCGAAAGCGTCCTCGTCTGCCAGTGCGGGTGCAGCTCAACGCGATGGCTGACCATTGGGCAATACAGCAGGGTGCAGGCTCTCAGGTGGGCTTTCATGGCGTGCGCAACAAACTTGGACAAATGTGCACCCAGCTTGTTCTCACACACCGCAAATGGCGATCCAAGCAGCGACCAGTCAAGGTGTTGTTGTTGCTGTTGCTGTTGCTGTTGCTGTTGCTGTTGCTGTTGCTGTTGCTGCTGCTGCTGTTGTTGTTGTTGTTGTTGTTGTTGTTGTTGTTGTTGTTGTTGTTGTTGTTGTTGTTGCTGCTGGAAGATGAGCAGGTAGTAAGAGGCCAAGATGGCAGATGCATGTGCACAAGCGTCCAGTCCAAGCTCACTGTGCAGGCACATGATGTGCTTCTGCTGGTTCTCAACATGCACCATGACACCTTCTCCTTGCTGCTGCTGTTGCTGTTGCACCATCCCCTCAACAGCGTGCGCGCGACCAACGCGTGCGTGTGTCGCACCGCCGGCCCGAATGTCCACCGCCAGCGTGCGCGTCAGCAGCTTGGCCGCATCAGCAGGACTCAGATGCTCAATGGTGTCCGTGAGCGAGCAACGATGCACAGATATTGAGTCCATCGTTTGCAGTGCATTCGCTAACAGACGCGAGCACGCACGGTGGACGTTTGCACGCGTCTCTCCATCTTCCTCCACGGCATCATTGACAACACGTGCGTCATCTTCAACAGCTCTGTCAGCACCAGTGGTACTGTCACTGGCACCGCCATCATGATCGCCCACGCTCATTGCCTTATCAAATCCAAACGCATCCATGACGCCACCGCCATCCTTGCTGCGTGGTGTTGATACCGGGCTGACCGTGTTCGAGCTGCCAGCCTGCTTCCAAACACCACCAACAACATCGCTGCTGCTGGTACTACCATTGACCATCTTTAGCCGTTGCGTTTTCACGTTCCCTTTGCCAGCGTCCCCAACACCCCTTCCCTTTCCCTTCACCCCACTACCACTATCACCGCCCGTGTTGGTACCGTCAATCATCCCGTCGCGCCCAAGCAGCACGATGGACACGTGCTCAAAGGTCGATTGCATGTTGTACCGCCCGTGTGGTGTGGAAGGGCCAAAATTGTTGCTGCTGCTGCTGTTGTTGTAGTTGTTGTGCTCGCTGCTCGTGAGCATGTGGTGGAAAGGGGATGCTGCTGGTGATGACATGTTGCCGTCGTCACCTGTACTTGTGTAGTTGTTCACAGTTGGGCAGCGAACGGCAGCAGACTTGCAGTATTGCGTCAGGAGCTTCAAGGCAGGGCGGTCCTCCTGGCGTGACGTCACATCGCCGTGCAAGAGGTTGTCCACGTGATCGAGTGTGGGCGTGTCCAGCAGCACGTGCGGGCTGTCAAAGGCGAGCCAGTCGAGTGTGTCGACGTCACTGCCAACCTCCGAGGCAGCGGTATCGCTCTGCCAATCGTGCGCGGATGTGGAGA